TTTGACAAATATTACATTTTATATGTTCACCACCTGAGAGCTTCAGGGCCAGTGGCAAGGCCCTTTATTCAAGAACCTAGCAGGGAAAAATCCCAGCGAAAGGAAGAGCAAACAACTTTGACTGCAACGAGAAAACTGGTTCCCCTCCTCCTCAATGACACAATACAGACAAAAGGGCTTACTCCTTTTCTAGAGAGAACATTTTCCTCAAAGTAGAACATCAATATTCAGGTAAAGTAATTTATTAAACGTTGTAGAGCAAGTCTATCTGCTGAGGCCCAAAGCAAGCTAGATGCCTCAGCTTGGACTGGCCTTCTTATAGGGATTAGAATAACAAATTTAGTTTTTTCTATTTCCAGTCAGACAAGACTGTACCAATTGATTAAAAGGGGGAAAAGGTATGTATTAGTACAAAGCACAAGGTTTATACAGTATGATCTTATATAGGAATGTTGTTCACTTGACTAAAAGACTTTTCTGTCCAGGGTTGGGAGAAAAAAACAAAACAATAAGCAAGGCACATTTTTAATGTAATCCAAAAATACTCTGAAATATACTAGCAACCATAATATAAATGATACTTTAGGTTGCATCCGGATAAGCGCAGGCATGTGATACGTGGTGCCACAGATCCAGATGTGGTGCCGCACACAGTACATACAGGCATTCCCCATGCAGCTACCTTGCAGCACAGCGTGGAGGGTTTTGACCCTGGGAGATCCCAGGGTCAAAAAAACCCATGCCAAGAAAAAGTGGGGTGCCGCACACAGTGGCAGTGTGCACCACCCAAAACTGGAGCCTGGCCAGCCAGAGTCATACTTCAGCTGCTGGCAAGGCACACAGCTGCAGGAGCGCTGTGGCTGCAGCACCCCAAGACCCCCAGGATCCCAGGTAAGACTGCTGGCCCCAGCCTCCCCTACCCCACTCAGTGTAATGTGCAGTAACGTTCCCCAGGGACACGTAACAGTGGCACAAGGTGTGCTGCTGCTACTTTCCCTAGGGAAACAAACATCTGAGCTCATCTGGACGTAGCCTTAGTGGACAACAGTGTAACCAACACTATTTATAGAATGTTAACCTATAAATTATGTAATGTAAGTCACTTACAGGGCTCTTCATGTTTTGATAGAGCCATGTATTTGGAAATCTGAAAGAAGTTAGTCCAATGATTTTAGAAAAGTTGTAAAAATATTACTTTGCAATTATAAAGCACGAGCTCAGATAATTAAGATAATACAACTGGGTAAACACCTCACTTGGAACTCTGTAAGAACACCTTCTCTTTCCGTTAAACTCATATTTAAGTATTACACGTTTTTTCTGTCTGTAGAAGTTTTTTATTTGTGCTTTCAATCAACACAACACTAGCTGACTTTTCCCCAACAGTATCTACAGAATAAATAGATCATCATCACTATTACATTTTAAAATGAAGCCTATATTTTTCTTCTTTCAAAAGCAGGTGAATGTTGCTTTCCAGGTTGTAGCACGGTACAAGGCAGCTTGCTTTGTTCACATTCCCTTTTACACACAGCACTAGTGACACCTCATGGACATTACACATTAGTGCACTTGCCATGGCAAGATGATTTCTGTGATGGAATCAAAGTTTTAGTTTGCTATCTTGCTACTATTCAAAGGGGTATATTTGAACTTAACATTAAACCTGATACGATTATCCTTAAACATAATTATCACAAATATGTATTTTTATAGTTTATGTTCAAAATAGGCAAAATTATTTATTAGAATACCAGCCTTCTAAAGATGAATGCCACAATTCAGGAAAGAAAGAATAAATGCATCACTGAACAAAAAGCATGCTTACGCACTGGTATACCAATGACACGTTTTTGTGAAAGCGAACACTTTACCTAGCTTCATTTTTTTGTTTCAATACAACTACAAGAAATAAATACAGTGTGTATGCATACAAAATCTATAGTCCTCATACTATTTATTTATGACTATTTCTCATATATTATTTCTATAATACATATAAAATAGCTCTCAATCTTCTACCCTTTGACCTGTTAAAAACCCCCCCAGGTTTTATCCCTTCAGATCTTCAAAGTAGTAGATGAAATTAAAAATTTTATCCGTCTCTAAGTCACAATATGATTTTCAGTTTATCACAGATATGAAATCTGCCAGAAAGCAGGTAGAGATGCACCTTATAGACTAACTGAATCAGAGATGCAGACTTTCTGATGAAGTGAGTTTCTTGCTCACAAACTTCTATGCATCTTTGATTCAGTTAGTTTATAAAGGTGCATCTCTACCTTGTCTTATGCCTGACTTTAGACTAACACAGCTAACTACAGATACTTAATCTGTGATACTAACACAAAACAGTATTATTCCAATTCATGTAATTTGTGAGAAAAAACATATTAGGTGAAATCTTAGCTCCAGTGAAGCAAGTGGCATACTTCAAAAGCAACATTTTATGTATTGAAGGTGAATGGACCCATAATTGTTTTAGGGCAGACTCTGCCCTAATCTACTCCTTTTGAGGTTCTCCTGGGTCATTTCTCCTACCTCTGAATTAAGTAACCTTCTGAGGACTAGCACAGAGAACTTGATGAATGACCATAGCAGTTAGCTTCTGCCCTTTCTGCAGTGAATGCCTCAGGATGGAGAGGCATAAAAGGGGAACAGAAACTTCTCTATGGTACTATGGCCTTAATTATTTCTAATTGGCATATAATGGTCCCTTGAGACCCATAACCAGGAGACACAATTAGAGCAGTCCCTAATGTGCTCTAACCTGTGCGGACATGAGGGAGAGAATTAGTGAACTGTAACTGGTTTTCAGCTTCTCTTCATCCCCCTTTTGGGCTATCCAGCTGCTTTTGTGTGGGAGGGAAACAATCTTTCATTAAGTGCTAAACTAAACTAAAACAAAAAAAGTCTAGATCTCACAGCCCAGCAGGAAAAGAGGCAAAGGTACAACTAGGGCTATTGTTTCCTTTTCCTCCAACTCAGTATAAAACTAGCAGGGAATAGCTGGAGCAGGGAAACAGCAGCAGCACTTAGAAGGCTTCTGACACACACAAATTGTTCCTGAAGCTACAAGAGGGAAGTGGGAAGGGACACAGTGCTCTTCATCTTCCCTCCAGCAAAGGAGCTAATGCAAACTGTTCAAAAACAATCACAGCAAAAGAGCTCAGGAAATATTTTCAATTAACAATCAAATAAAAATTCTTAATACAAGTTACCTTGAAGATTACTAGAAACAGATGCATTCAAATAAAATCGTAGTACATGATTACACGAAAAAAATTCTAAGTCAGTTCTCTTTAATTTTTATTAAATTCAAAAACTGCAGAAAGAGACCACAAGTTTCTAAATACATATAAAAACAAATCAACTAAAATCATAGTTGTCAAGTTAAAACTTTTTTCCATAACTTTCCCTTCCTTGCTATTGCCCACAGAAGTCCTACAAGTACTAGAAAAATTGGATTTCATTTTATCAGTATTGCAGTAAACCATAGGTTTACTATCTTAAAAAGCTAACCGTCTAGGCACAAGGTGGCAGAAGACATAAGCACAAACATTAACCAAGCTTCCTTAATTTATTAGTTGAAGCTGAGTATGCCAAAGAGATATCCCCTAGACAGCACTATGTGCACAATGGTATATCTGATCCATTGGGCTAAGACCCATTGGGGGAGTAAAAATTACGACCAATTTTGAATTTCTAGTTCCTTCCAGAAGACAGACAATAAGTTGCAGAAGCCAGTAGTTTACCTTACTGATCAGTGTAAGTCTTTAGGCTGAAACAAAGGCAAAGGTGGTGAGACAGTTTCAGATACCAAAGAAGAGAAGCTATATTTTGCAAGACTGGTTTGTATATGTATCCCCGTGGGTCATTAAAAACTTTGCTACTGCCTGCCAAGACATCATGACAGTCACATGCCATCACAGGATACCAGTTAAGCTAGATCATCCAAAGAGTGCAGTAGTTAAAGCAAACTCTTAGTGTGTCTTGTGCTTCCTCTCTAAAAAATGGGAACTAGATCTCAAGGAAATAAAGATTTTTTTTTTTTTTAACAACAATGATATTACCTTTTATCCACCACTTGTATTTGCCATTCTAAAAACAGGTGCAGCTCCACTGGCATTCATAAATACAAAATTTTATTTGCATTTCATTAGTTTAGAAAGACCACAAAGTTTTTCAATACCACAACATTCAGAACACTGAGTTATTCAAATATGTAATTACTGATTTACCACAACTAAACTAAACAGTGCATTTTAATAAAAGATATATCAAAGATATAATTCACCAATTCATAACCAGACAAAAACCTCACAATATATGCTTGACTGGAATAGTTTCCACCATTAGAAAAGAAAAGTTTTACCATCAACCCATCCCTCCCACTGAGGTGTCCAGACAAATACACATATATATATCCCTCAACACAGGAAAAATGCTCTTAAATTTTTTAAAAAGAATTTGTCTAGGACAGCAGCATTGCTTTTAAAACCTTCTTTTACAGTTCAGATACATCTCTACTTTTACTGAATATTTACCGACTCTGCAACCTAGTTATGCTTAAGCAGGAACTTGTATATGCAAGTTGAGAATGCACCTTTAGAACCGCACCAAATGTAATGTCTTTGAACACAAAGCAACGGCTCAACATTAAACATAATAAATAATGAGTGCTGGAAATTACTCTTTGATTTGCTGTAAATCCAGTCAGCTGCAGATGCTACAGCAAAAAGAAAAACGAAAAAAAGGAAAATTGTTGACCATATTGAAAAGAAACATAAATGCTGCTTATGGAAGCTTTGTACATGGAAGTCTTCTGTTTTAAGAAAAAAAAAAGTCATCTTAAAATAGTTAGCAAAGCACCATAATATACTTATCTTCATACCAGAAGAGCTTCTGCCTGCCTATTTATAACAACGAGGACTATTACAACATTTACAATCAAGAATAAGTATATATTTAATTTCTCCTCCTCTTAGACTGGGAGTGTGGTGGCTGCCTGTAGACTGTACAATATTTATAAACACTGGGGCAATGAATGAAATACCATTTTGAGGGAGACAGGCAATATTTTACTGTTATAGCTGAATCCTATGCAGGATTTCATATTTGCATATATACAAGTTAGTGTGCAGCTCTGACTTGAACACAAAGTGCAACACGAAACTGCCAAATGATTGTAGTGCAGAGAAGTACAGACACTTTCTTTCCCCTCCCACTCATTTTTTTTCACTCTGTATGAAGCAACAAGTCAACAGCAACGGACATGTGGCCTTGGAGGAGGCAGTTCTGGTGGGATTTCTGGCTCTGGCTGCAGGGACAGGATACTGTTTGACAGCTCATTCCTTATGATATCCAGGGGCATCTGAAAAAATAAAAAACAACCCACATGTCTATAAATAATCCAGTGCACAGAACTCTCAACTACTCCTACTTAAGAGAAAGACTTCAGAGCTGCACTTCAGCTAAAGGATTAACATTGGGGCCTCCGATATCCTAGCACCAACATTTAAAAAAAAATATTAGAACAGAATGTGTTAAAGTTTTCTTTCAAAGGAAAAAAATCTTACACACTGTGTTCAACAAAGTAGTATTGCTATTTTGACAGATAAAAGATCTGTACTAGAATCATGGTAATTAAAACTACATTTGGGAGAAGCTTTCTTATAGTTAGTTTGTCAATAACAGAGAACATACATTCAATTTTCTAATAATCTAGAGGGCAAAGCAGTATGATGCATTGAACTGAAGAGCATGAAATTTGGCTTCCTTTTCTATAGCTCTTCAAAAGGTGCTAAATAGTTTTAAGCATGGTGTTTTATTTGTGGACTTCCATTCATTGACTGAGATTCAAGACTCCAAATAATCCTGTAATTTTAAAGGTGCAGTAGTAACCAATATACATAAAATTAAGTGTTTGCCCGCTATGTTAATACAGTTATTCAATCAGGAAAGCTAGTGTCATGTGTTTGCAAACTACTACTATAGAGAAAAGCAAAACACTTTCATTGTTTTATCCCAACTATGTAGTTGGTCCAATAAAAGATAATCAATTACAAAGATCTTTGCCTCTCATCATTTTACAGCATTTGAAAGTGCAGAAGTAACATCCTTACCAATCTTAAAATAGTTTTAAACTTTAAATCAACTGTCAGACAATAGTGTAGGTAGAAACACAGCTAAACAGATCAGTTAACCTAACTTGGGGTGAATTTATTTTTTTTAAATAAGACTTGCAATGATTTTCCACTACAACTAATTAATACTCAGCATTTAAATAGCAGTGATCAGCCAAAGATTAAAGTGACACTTCATCAATCAAATCAGGGGTTGGGGGGAGGAGGAAAGAGGCATAAAGAGGTCAGAAGACTAATCTAAGATCAAAGCTATCAAATAACAACTTGGACTCAGAGATCTCCCTACAGTACTGTAAGACAGCAGCTCCATCCTGTATACATACCAAGGTTGCTACTTTTCCTAGGCCATAAACAGGCTATCATTTCTAGTGGTGGAAATTTTCCACCACTAGAAATGTTTCTGGGAGAGGGAACAGTTCAGAAGTTCCACTGCAACTGCCCCATCTCCTGATACCTTCCCAAAACCAGGGGATCCCAGATCTGGTAAAAGCATCAGAATAAGTGGCTGTTCCAGTCCTCCCATTCCTGGGGGAATGCAGCAGCGCGGCAGAGCCCCCTCACCCACTCCTCAGCCCACAGAGCCCAGTCTGAGGAGTGGGTAGTAAACAAGAAATAGCTACTCCTTAACTTGGCTTTCTGCCTACTGGAGCGGCAGCAGCAGTTGTCTCCTGTGCCTCTGTGACTGAGGTGACCTTGTTCTGAGGAAGGCACAATAACTTTTCCCTGTCACTCAACTCCCACTGGGATTGGGAAGAGGTGAGCAGCAGCTATTCCCTGTGCTCTCCCCAGATGAGAATAACTCGTCTTGGGAAAGCACAGGAAATGTTTTCCTATCACGCAGCACCTCCTGGTCCCTGGGAGGAGTCCAACAGCAGAAAACTATGCATGCTTTCTCCCAGGAGAAGCCCTCCCAGTGGGAGATGGATTATTTTTGTCCCAGAGCCACCATTTTTGTTCCAGGATAAACTGCATGAACATTTGTGGTTTCCAATGGGAGAGCTGAGATTCTCCCATTAGAAACATAATACCTGTACATGGCTTCGGTCTCTGTTTCTAGTTGGCATCCTGTATAGTCAAGTTGCTGACTTCTTGTTTCTCCAGTCTTCTGTAGTTCTTAGCATGCCAATTTAAGCAAAACACACTTTTTTTCTGTGCTACTCCAAACCTATTCCCTGAAGCAGTCCTAATTAATTTGTGACAGCGAAGGAAGCAGGCAAATACATAGTCAGCCACTGCACCTTGATATAAAATTAAGCTACTATGCATGGAGGCATGTAAGTGAAAACTTCAACTGCAATAGTAAGAGCTGTGCCACAACAGAAGAAATGGAAGATAGCAGGTGGTCCACAAGCTGCATCCTGACTGCTCCAAGATAAAATAACTTCCTTGCTATTGTGCACTCTGAACTACTACTCCTACTTGTGCAAGTAGTAGAAAAATATCTGACCTATAAAAGTCTAGGCAAATAGCTTACCTTTTTCAGGATATCATCAACAAGTTTCAGAAATATTTCATCCACATTAAAATTATCCTTGGCACTTGCTTCACAGAACCGCATCCCAGTTATTTGCTGTGCAAACTGACAAGGAAAAATAAGTGTCAGTGTCAGGTTTGTGGGTTTTGTTTTGTTTTTTTAAGGTGCAAAGAAAAGCTGAATATAGCAAAAGCTGAGAGAAACTGAAGCTTGAGTTGTGTCAGATTCATTTGAGTCAACCTGTCAGTTCTGCACGGTATTCATGGAGGGAGAAAAATTATGTCTAGAGCTGTAAAATTGGACACAACTGGGCTAAATGAATTATTTTGGCATATTAGGAAAGAAAATAACAATGGCTGAACACCAATAAAAGAAATGTCATGGCTAAGGGTAAAATATTAAATCAACTGCTAAGCAGACATACAAAAACGAGACAGTGCTGAATATACAGATGACAGACATTTTGGTTGACACTTATTTACATGTTTTCCTTTCCTATGCTTTTAGGAGAATCTGGTGCTCCTGAAAATAAATTAACAAATACCACAGGAACTGCCAGGCATACTGCAAGCATATATACTTTGCAATCCTGTCCAAGTAACTCAAGCATATCACTACTGACCAGTAGTAGCCCTTTTTACCCCACTGAAAGGGCTCTTCAGAGGAAGAAGCTGGGATAGATTTCTACTTGCATGCTTTCTCTGCCACCCTGGTACAGGGATGAGCAATTATTTCAACTGGGGGACTACATAACTACTTTTGATCAGCTGTTGAGACAAGGATAGCCCCACCCCTTGATCACCATCTTGGGACCAGAAGCCCCACCCACTAACCTTTGACCATTTCCACCTGATTTATATGCATTTGCATAGTGTATATAGGGGTGATTGTATAATAGCTCAAAATAAAGTCTTACTCTTGCATATTGTGTGCATGTAGTTTGTGAAAAGTTTGGCGGGGTTATGAAGGGGTGTCTAGATGTGTGTGGGGTGCAGGTACAGGAGTGTGTGTGAGTAGTAGGGTTTGTAGGAGATGTGTGTGTGGGTGTGGACTCATACCCACCCCACACACAAGCCATTGGGCCAGGAGGGCTCTGTGTTCCAATGTGCAGCTCCCAGCTCTCCTTCTGGGAGCCATGCACCAGTATGTGGGGCTCCCAGGAGTGCAGTTGAGAAGGCACACTGCCGGGCTGGGTTAGGCTAGCTGCATACCTCCATATGGGGCTCCTGGCACTGCAGGGTGGAACTCCCCTCCCCACTCTCTAGCTGTTCAGTCATACACCATTGCACTCAGTGCCTACACATGGGGCTCCCAGCTGGAGTGCCAGGAGCCCCATGGAGATGGAGGCACAATGCCCACCCAGTCTGATAGTGAGCAACCTCTGAAAGCCCACCTCCCACCAGCTTTCCGAAGGGCAGCCACAGGCCAGTAATAATTGTTTTTTGAAGAAGCTCCACCTGCTGGATACAATGACTTGGCATGCTGAATCTGGCCAAAGGGCCAAGTTTGCCCGCCCCTGCCCTGGTAGCTTTCAGGTTGTAATACAATCCCACTCACTGCTTACTAGCCTCAGATTCTGATCATTAGATTCATCTCAACTGTAAAATACAAACCAACTTCCTTATATTGTTCAATGATTTAATACCTATAGAGACCAGTCACATGTTGTACTAACTCTAATGGGCCGTTGTGCACTTCTGAACAAAAGTCCTTGTATCCATACTATTCTGCTGTTATCTAGCCACTTTCTGCATTCTGCCTTTTGACCTGCTACCCTGTATGAGATAAATCCCAAACTAAACAGTTGTTTTCATGAGCGATGGGCAACAGGTGCCTCTCGAGTTGGACGTGGGTTGGGGACGATGACTTCCCCCACCAGCAGACAGTCAGCGACTGGGGAAGGGGGGGGTCCCCCCGCAGGCGATCCCACAGACTGGGGGATGGGGTCCCTGCGGCTGATTCTGCCAACATGCAACTGGCAGCAGGGCACCACTGGCACTTCTGTGTCAGAAGGATTGGCCGCAGGGGGACCACTTCTCCTGGTGCACTCCCTGGCCGGCATTCTCAAGGGGGGCACCAGCACTCTTCCCTACCCCAGCATCCTCGCCTGGGAACGCTGCTCTCAGGGGGTTCACATGCACCCCCGTGTACCCTCTACGTGTTGCCACTGGTTGTTTTCCACACAATACCAGGTGACCCACTCAAAGATGTGAATGATTTAATTTCCACTTGCTCTTACTTTTTCTCCCTGCTGTCGAGTAATTTCTCGATCAACTTCACAGTCCAATTTATTTCCAACTAATAGAAGCTCTGCATCTTCTGAGGCATACTGTAAATACAGCAAAACATGGCATTTCTAACTACATCTAAACACACAATTCATATGGTGTTGGTAAAAATCAATCAAGTCTCTAGTAATTAGTTGACTCATTATATTTCAATGTGTTCTATATTATCAAAACACTGTGGAAATGTTATCTTGAGAATATCCGCCCTCATTTTGCTCAGTTTTCAGATTCATTCCAAGATACTAAATGAGAGCCAAAAGTTTCTCTCTGGTGAAGATTATGACCTTAACACAAAAGAGGCAAATGGAATGTACTGAGGGGTTTTTTGTGCAGTCAGATGCGCAATGATGTGCATACTTCTACCAGTACCAATGACAAAGATAATTACTGTTAATCAAGACCAGCTCCAGGCTGACATTTCTGTGTTAGAGTAGTACTTGCCAAAAGAATAAAGTAAAAAAAAAAACAAAAAAAACTCAGTTAAACAATTTACATTTTCAATCTCCTACAAGTTTATTCCAAAACGCATTTTAAGGGGACTGTAAAAATGTAATTTAAGTATTACATACTATATTCTCTCCTTTTACAGAAGTGGAAGCCTACCTTATCAATCATTTTCATCCATTTTGGTAAATCATCAAACGTCTCCTTCTTGGTGATATCATATACCAATATGATTCCCTTGGCACTTCTGTAATAAGCTGAGGTAATGCTGTTGAATCTCTCCTGACCTGCTGTGTCCCTAAGAAGCAGCAGCAAACATTGGCACAAATATTTTATCAGTTAAAGAACAGAACAAGTTAGCTTGAATTTCAAAAAACAAACGACACAAGCTAACCACATGCTAAATGTATATCCCATATTGTTCATTTCCTTCTATATATAATAATTATATACAATAACAGGCAAGCCAGTTTAATAATTGGAAGAAAATCTCAGTTCTGAGACAGTCTACCATCATACTTAATTGTCCCAAGCTAACTAAACTGGGAAAGGCCAGGCCACCAAAGCAACTTTATGCATCTTTGAGAATGGAGTTGTCCAATGAAAACATATCAGCAGATGAAAAATTAAAAAAAAAATTTTCTTAAAAAGGGAAAAAGTAAAAGATGCATGCTAATCAAGCTAACGTTGGACATCCAAGTGTAAAAGCTGCAATGTACCTACTAATGAGATTCAAGTTTTCAGAGGGTTTTCAGATCAACCAAAAAACAATTAAGCTATATTTTAATATTTATGTAGATGCTAGTGATAAAAATTGTTGAAAATATTAGGCAAACAAACAATGCAAGGAAATGTGCTACTAATGCTACTAATTTTCAAGGCACATTTATGGCAGAGTACAATATAAGGCTGAAGGTCAAGCTCAGAACTCCAAAATCCAGGGATTCTGAGTGCTTAAATTTGGCATTTGGATCTGATTGTCAAAAAATCAGAACCAAAATAGGGGCTTTAATTTGGGTGCATTTAATAAAATCTGCAAGCCATTCTCCAGCTATGGTACCACTGTTCTTGTACTAACAATAGATAAGCCAAGATTCCAGGGATTTCTACCACTGTGTTTTGGTGGCTACTCTTCTAAGAGCCTATGCTTAGAGCAGATGGGCGTAACTTGGTAATACCATTACTCAAAATTAAGTTATAAAGAGCTCTAGTACATCTGAAATACAGATGTTGGAAAACAAGCTTCCCGATACAATAGACATTAAAAAAAATTAGTACTGAAGCAGGTCAAAAATCAGAATAAAAACTATTTCTAGATGAGAGTATATGCATGTGAGAGATGAATGAAAAATGCTGACTGGGCTTAATTGTGTAATATAACATTTGAGTACAGAGTATGGGAAAACCTCACAAAACATAACTCTCTAGATACAATGATTTATTCTGAGTATTCTAAAAAAAAGAATGCTCTCAAAGGGCCAAAAAATTGATTTCCCTCCTCAAGATTTCTCGACAGCATATATACAGGAGCTACAGTAATAGCACAAACTGCCACAATCCCACCTTGTCTCAAACAAAATTTATAGGGACCATACTTAGACTGAGGAGAATTAGGAATAAATGATCTCTTAAGTCAAGCCTTGACCTTTTCTCTGAGACTGCCACAAGAGCACCAGATAGCATCAACACTTTACTGGTGGTTTTATCATGTAGATGATTTGCCCACTAGAAATTGATCTGAAACCTCAGCTTCATATAGCTACACCACGAATTGTGAAAAAAAACCTGATGCATCATCATGAACAGTACTTGGAAGTGTGATGATAGTACTGTCGTGGGAAAGGAGGTAGAGGACAGGGAGAGAAACAGAACTGGATTCTATCTTTCAATTCCCCCATGTTCCCTAAAAACTAAACACACACACAAAACTTAAAGCAAAAATATACTGTCTGTCCTAGCAATAGCTGGCTTTAGTGAGAAGTAACTCAATAGGTATCTAAAAGTAAAATGAAATATTACTAAAGCAATACAACTTCCTGCAACTGAAATTACATATACAGATATCTCATCATTACAGCATTTATTTTCTCTTCAGTTCTCTCTCCAGTACGGTCACCTTCATTTTTTTGCAACATTTATGATATTTCTTTATGTGAAAACACATTAAAATGTCAGTCAAAACTGTTGATTTTGCACATACAGGTAACACTGTCTTAGGGCTTATGAACAGATTTATCCAGTATAGAAATGCCTCTGTCAACTACAATTATGTTGCTAAAGATTGCTAAAGTGTTGGGGAGTGGATCCCACCAGTTTCATTACTTTTAACAGCCAGAACAAGAAGGAAGTGGGGGACAGCAGAAGTGGTTTGGTGGCAAGTCAAAGCTAACAAGGAAGACAGAACTGCCTGATCAGTTGTATTATAATATCTTTGGCAGAACAGGATTATGCTAAACTTGAATGATTTTTAAAATACACTTCCTGGGCTTCTTTAAATTGTTGACCGTCATACCACTACCTTCAATGAAGGCATTCAGTGTAAATGGGTGTTCTCTTCCTAGTATCTTCAAAAGGCATTTGTTCATTGAACTGAATGCTGTGCTGCAAAATCTCCTACTCTTAGTCCTACAACTCTATAAACTCAAGCATTCACTTAAAGGGCAGGGCAGACCCTACAGTGAGAGACTGCGGGACCTGAACCTATTCAGCCTCCACAAGAGAAGGCTGAGGGGGGACCTGGTGACCGTCTATAGACTCACTAGGGGGGACCAGAAGGGTTTGGGGGAGACGCTGTTTCCCCTAGCGCCCGCTGGCATAACAAGGAGTAATGGGCACAAGTTGATGGAGAGGAGGTATAGATTGGACATCCGCAAAAACTACTTCACAGTTAGGGCGGCTAGGAGCTGGAACCAACTTCCAAGGGAAGTGGTGCTGGCCCCTACCCTGGGGGTCTTTAAGAAGAGGCTGGATGCCTACCTGGCTGGACTCATTTGAGTCCCGTTTCTCTTTTTGGGGTTTTTTGTTGTTCTCCCGCCCTGGCGGGGGGTCGGGCTAGAAGATCTACTAGGTCCCTTCCGACCCTTAATCTATGAATCTATGAATCTATAAAGGTTATGCAAGCCACTTCTGTAAAAATGAGCCAGATGTACAAGCACCAAACATCTGAAATGGTGGGAAAGGCACAAGATAAAGGCAGAAGTTTATATTATTACATGGAAATACTGAAACCAAGGCCCTAAGATTATTTTGCATGTGTAATTTACTCCACTGATGGAACACGAACACTTTCCTATGCTAAGTCCAAAAATCAGATAGGACTCTTCGGCACCCATTCAACTCAAATCTCTATACAGTTAGATATCTGCTCAAGTTTCTTGCTGAAGCAGACTTAAAAATTAAAATAGTGTTGGTTAATGACACTATTTTCAATAACATGAATACATGCTAAGACTGGACACTGATTTTTTTAGTTTATCGGCAAAGTAGAAGTGAAGGGACTGTATTTATTTTTATGATCTATTTATATAGCATTACACAAAGAAACACACTTTTGGGCCCAAGTAGAACAAACCAATTCTTGAAGGGAATAACTCTAGGCCCTTCACTCCTGAAGCACTTCCAAAGCCAGAAAAATTGTATTCATATTCCTTTCATAGCCTCCCATACCAAAGCAGAAGCTCCACTAATGTGCTCTCCTGACTCATAATTTAGGAAACCATCGAAGAGATTTGATAATAGAGGGGAAAGAGGCACCAAATCATTTAAAGGGATGCTTCTGAAGATGATCAAGTTCATATGCAAGAAGCATGCATGCATGTACAGTGGAAAAGAAATGGTTACATGATTACTCTTTCAGGAGAGTAATTAGCTTTTTGAATTAGTTTGCATGCAAGTGATGGGCATTTGTAATGGGATATTTGAAGATATTTAATAAAAAACCCGCAAAAAACAGATTACCAAATTAACAGAGTTCTTGTTTTGCTGCAACAGAGTTTAAAATAAGTCAATATAAGATCTGAGGGTGCAGTACGTTTAAAATATTATGCCCCGTCTCTTAAGCTCAGAACTTAATTTTGATAAGGACATCACTGAACAGCTCTCAAAAAGCTCAGTGTCTTGAGGGGAGATCAGTTTTCTGGTAGGTAAGCTGTTTTACCAGGAGCATTCTCTCTGCAGTAAAAGTTCAGGGAATACATATTCTGTCAATACTACAAACAACTTGAGCAGGTGTTTTACACTAAATGGTGCTCCCCCAGTAAAGATACTTGTTATGATGAGTCACTTCTGATGTTCTGGAATTAACTTAGTTTTGTTTGTTTTGCTGTTCCCATTCCTATATTATATTATATTTCAGCCACAAGAGGTTAAAACTATCCAATGACAATGGGCAGGTGGTATAAAGCATTGGTATGGTTAGGCTATGATTAGGTTACCAACCTGTACTAACATTAAACCATGTCATAAGCATTAATGAAAACTGACAGCTCTCAGGTACTCTTATTCAGATTTAACATAATACATAGAGCAAAATATTTATAACCCAATGCAATAATGGTTTGATTTCTGTATACAGAGCTCAAATACTTGTGAAGACTATAAACATTATTTTTGAATTAGTCTGATTGCTGGAACATGTCAAAATGCTCTGTATTGCAAATACTGTTACTACATCTGCAGTACTTTTTTGATATAGCATAGGGTGTTATTCACACTTTTTTGGTGCCCCTTCCTTTTTCAGTATCTAAGGAAATCACCTACTCTGAAATTATTTTTCCGTGTTTCTATCCCTTTTTGTACCCATTTCTACAGTTCTCAACTCCATATGTCCAATTAAAAGTTTGCTTGGACAGGAAAACTGTTTTCCACTCTGTATCTAATCAAGAAATTATCCTTTAACAACTTAGAAGTTGTGCCGGGGGAGGGGGGGGACAGAAGACAACTATCCTCTTTCTCTTCCTACTTAATGACTTGAAAATGAGGGCTATAACTTCAAGATAGCTAAAAAGCGTGATGCCTGTTAACAAGGGAAAATTTTACACACAAAACTTATGTCCAAATATTAAAGATTCTGACTTTTCATTTACATACTCATACCACATATATGGTATGAAGTACAATACTCAGATACAGTTAGAAATCCTGTGAAAGTCGTAAATGGAAATGAATGTTTTAGGTCAAACAACTACCATTGATTTTATATAAGCACATTCAACAGAATGACAGTTAGACTTCTACCTACAAATACATCAAACCTACCTATCCTCGAATCAAAAACAAATTTAGTTTTTATGGAGGGAT